CTCGCAGGCATCTTGCCAATCACCGCTACCGAAGATACGGCTGCATATGTGTACCCATATATGCATGCAGCATCACGGCCGCTTCATACCAATCCCTTCGCTTCATAATTTGCTTCAGCAAATGAATGAATACGAGCGTCAGGAACGGTATGTTGTGGGTTGATAGGACCCTTATAAGGGCACCTCCTTGGAGAAGCCGCTATGCAGCGCCTGCTCAGGGTCGCGGAATTCCGTCCTGCCAGGCGTATTGGTCCTAGGATTTATCGTGGCAACTGCCTTTAAGGTTACAGGAGCGTAATGGTAGCTGGATGGCTTTGGGGCCCCCAGTTGCAGGCAAAACCCACAGCACGTGGCATGCCTTACTACCTGCTAACACCTGTATCACCGTGCTCCCATTGGCCATCGGGTTGCTCGAAAGGGCGCCAATAACGTCTCCCTTCGTCCCTACAACGTGCTAGAGTTGCTCAGTGGGTTGTCTGTTTCTGAAGGTCATAATGAATTCCATGCCGTTCGTTCAGAGATTTCACGATAATGTCTGACCATCGCGTAGGCGGTCGTCCAGGTGCACGTTTGACGCCTCCTGGAATCCAGCGCACTGGTCCAGCGGTGATGCATTGAATGACCGCATGCTCATCCCACTTTCGTAAAGTCCAAGTCTCTGAGGCGTACGTCAAGGCAGGAAGGACCTCGAAGAGGTGGGCACGGAGCTTGGTGTTCTTCGTCTTCTTCGCTACTCCCTCGATGTTCTTGAAGGCTCCCCAAGCCGCTCGCTTCCTCCTGCTCAGCTCTGGTGCTAAGTCGTTCATCATATTGATTTCACGGCAAAGGTAGACATAGCTAGAGCAGTCACTGACTTTCGTCCCGTTAAGCAAGAATGGGGCATCAGAAGCGAGTACATGTTAACTTTTCAGACTTCAACTTTTCAGACTCAAGCGACTTTGCGGAAACGAGAGCCAAATGAAATCATCGGAACTTTTGCGGCTGTGGCTCCAGTATCGTGTGAAAGTCAATTAACCATCCCTTTCTTCATGAACATCGTCTTCGTCAGGTTTAGCTGCAAGCCGACGCATTGTCGAAGCCACGCGCTCTGCTTGCTTGGTGTTTGGTGTTATCAGAACGATGTCGTCAGCGGAGATGGTGTAGTTGCCGGCCGTCGATCTTTACTTCCAAACCTTCCTACTCGAGTTGACGCATGACATTCTCGAAAGAGGCGAGGTGGTCTCGTTCTGTCGAGCTTCTCTCCTCGATCTCCTTGTATGATGAGATCCTGGTCGTGAAGCTGCTGTAGAGCCCACGAAGAATCCTGATTTACTGAGCAGGTACTACCTGCTATGTGCCTAGCCAAATCAATCGCGCTTCCTTTCTACACCTACCTCGTTCGGTCAGGTTGCTGTTGTTTTCTACACTTGACGGGGACAAACAGGTTGCCCCTCATATTGTTCGCAGCGGGACTTCGGCATTGACCAGCATGGCGCACATGGTAGACACGACCCAGACGACTTCCGACATTCACTTCGCTCCAACGTCATTTCAGCGCCCTCTTGACAACAGAGGAGGCATACTTCTACATCTGTAGACCCGCCCCTTACTCAAATGGCAGGGATCCCCTCGCAAGTAAGCAGACACTT